CCCCCCCCCCCCCCCCAATGCTTAGCTGTCATGTCAATTAAAGGCAAAAATGCCCCAAAAATATATCTTGAGAGACAGAAAAAAAAAGGCTACATTTGAGATGTCACAAGCACTTTAATAAAAACCGACTGTGACTGCGATTAAAATTAAATGCAAAGACAGGGATTTTTTCCCGTTTGAAAATACACTGCTGCACAACATGTAAACGAAAAATTATATAAAAGAAATAGCGGGCTGTATGTTAACGTTTTGCATATAGCACTGGGGCTACAGAGGTTTAAAGGTTTGCAGCACAGGACACAAAACTATAACATGGGTATAAAAGTATCAAGTAGGTCTAAATCCATTGTTGATTGAAACACTTCAAAATCTTTGTGGGGGGGAGTTATAAAGTAGTTTTCCATGGCCTTTCGAATGAATCTAGTGCTGGGAAATGATTCAAATATTTTTATTTGTTTAGACTATTAGTCTCATTAATGCACATAGCATCATCAGATAGGCCAAGGGAAGGAGGGAGCGAGAGACAGTTTGCCTGTGTTATATACGTCCTGTGTATGAAATGTTTGTGTTGTCACTGCATTTTTTAAAAACCCATCTGTCACCTGTATCCAAGCGCCATCACAATGTCACACAATAGACTACAACTACCAAGAAGAATGGCAGTGTGCTATGTCCACCTCACACACATACTAGCAAACAAATGTTTACCTGACAATCAAGCAGATCTGTCTCCCATAAATATTGCACATGAGCTACTGCGGTCACTTAATTCATCTCACAGACTGATTTAGCGTAGCATGTGCAACATAAAGCCCAATGTGCCACTATAGACTAATTAACAGACAGATTAAACAGAGTAGCAGCTCTGTGTCTCTCTTCTCCACCTTAAAAGTTGCCTGCAGTTGATCCAGTGAAATAAGTTACTTTTTCTCCGACTACAGCTGCTGCAAGAGACAGCAAAACATCCTTTCATTTAGTAGTTACAGTCTACTAATAAACTCTCCAGGGTACGAACAGTAGTTACTTGAGCCTCAAAACCAGCCACAGCTTAGCCCTGAGCAGAGTGACCGTCCGCTACTGACCAATCAACGGACTGCAGTGTTCACAGCTCCACCTTTTAGTACCAGATCTGTGTAATAAGTACCCCAACAGAAGGGGTCTGAAAAGTTGTAACAGTATGGAACGGTTCCATTGGTACTATCCACAACTTTTCACAGTGGAAATGGAAAAAAAGGCCTACCGAACTGAACTGAACTGTACCATACTGTACTGCTCGGTGGATTCGGGGCTTTAGTGTTGATGGGGAACTTGTGGGTGAGTGAGTGGGGCGGAGCTGTGCGGAGAGAGTGAGAGAGGAGAGATGCACACTCACCTGCATCACAGCATTATTTAACGCAACTTGATCCTTTATCAATATAAATGCTATTATCTAAATTTATATCTTGCTTGAAAATAGGTTGATATATTGTTATGATATCACCCAGCCCTAGCCTACAGTTATTTAATGTGAGGCAGGTCCTCAATCTCAGCAGTTCTCAGCAGGGAAAACATCCAACTCAAAAAAATCATCATAATTTTAATATGTTGAAGCAAAGCAAGGATTGACTAAATTTTGCAAGACACAAGTTAGTGTAGTAAATCCTGTCTACACTTGAGTTTTTACTGCTTTACATTTTATAAGTTAAAAAAACCCTCCCAACAGTAAATTTACATTGATTAAAATTACTTTCTCACTCCATACTTAATTCCTATCATTAACTGTCCTTATCCAATAGAGGTATTTAGTGCCCCTTCTGCCCAGCCATCTATATGGTTGGTTTTGTAGCCTCTACATGAGCTTATCACATTCACAAAAATCTCAGCTCATTTTACATTTCATCCCCAGTGATCCAGTCATCATCAGCCACCTAAAGGCTTATTTATACTTATGTTGGCTTAGATACATCCTCTAGATGGCACTAGAGGGCAGAGTCGAAAGTATCTGACAACAAACTAGGTGTTGATGGAGGAGGTCATAGGCCCAATCCCATTTCTCATTTTCGCCCCTACCCCTACCCATACCCCTCTTTTTCGAGTGCCCCTTGCAACAAAGTTACAAGGGGTAGGGGTTGAAATATTCCCCTATGAAATGGGACAACCCTTCATAAACGGAAACGTCATCATTAGTCGTCAGTGACGTCATAAAAAGACGTGACGAGTATGTTGCCGGGGAAACCTCACAACTAGCGATTTTTTTTGTTATGTTTGTTAGAACAAATGTATATAATACATTGAAACGACATTTCCGATGGTTATCATAGTCTTTAAATCTTTAGTTATGAAGAAAATACTTACATTTATGGTTTTCTTTCATTGCCTCTGAAGCATTCCCTACCATCTTGCCGGTGATTCACAAGGCATTCTGGGAGATTTCTCGTAGCACTCGCTTTGAAGTGTGCCTCTGAAAAAACTCCGTTTGAAGGGCCATATAGCCCTAGCACTCCGCCCTTCCCCTCTGCCTCAATGAGAATCGGGACATCCCTACCCCTATGCGTGAACGTGCAAAACGGAGGGGTAGGGGCAAGTGGTAGGGTTAAGGGGTGTACTGGGATTGGGCCATAATAATGTACTTTTCAGTGGAGGCAGTGTTCTGTGCGGCCCTTAAATACTGCAACATGTGGACAGAGAATTCTTTTCACTACATTACCAACTTTTTTCCATTCTGCCATTTTTAAATTGTCTGTCAACCAGGGCAGGAATTTCACAAGGGCCATTTGGCCCTGTGCCCTTGAAAAAAATATCTGCCCTAAGACCATAGTGGCCTTGATGCCCCGCCTGCACTGCCCAGGTGATTCTGCGGTTTTCTACTCTGCCTTTTTCCAGTCAACACGGCTTTGACACCAGTGTCTTTTGAGAAAAAAAAATGCGATGACATTCTGGATTCTTATTGGGCAACATCAAATGAGAAGATGCGTACTTCACCAGTGGTGGGTTTGATTCGAGCCTGGCATGAACCACTTGGACAGGCTATAACAACAGGGCTGACCTCCTCACAGCGCGCGCGCAGCAGAGAGGCCGCGGTGCAGATGAAGGGAATATAACTTCAAGATTACTCTAGTTAATGACAACTACTCTTGTTACTGTAAGTAAGTGCAATAAAACCTCTGCCAGCCAAGCCAATACTTTATCAATACATGTGGTCAGCATGTAGAAAGCCAAATTTCAATCTGCTCTGTTGTTGAAATATGATTCTCTCATTCACCGCTATTATGATTTATGATCGCGGTCGACACAAGCACATCGCACTCGCAAGGCTAACAGCAAACTGTTAAAGACAAACTAAAATGAAAGCTGTCTGTATGTAGGCTAACACTTTATCTGAACATGTACCTGAGGCAGCCGACCTGCAGACAGTGAGTGTCCTCAGTAGAGGAGGGACAGAGAGCAGGATGAATGATTAATACTGATGTTTGTCTTCATGCGGAGATAACGTGACTTTCTTCACTCAGTATTGTGATGTCAGGAGGAATATTTATTTTATTTATTCCAGTGAGATATTATTGGGTTTTAAATAGTGACTTTGTTGTAAACATGACTGTTGCTGCCATGGACTGTATAAAACTATATCTTGTGTAACTGACCTGTAAGGAAAGCAGCAGGAGGTGAGGTGTGTGCATGTGTGTGTGTGGAGGAGAGGGGAGAGGGAGATGCTGGTAGAGAGATAGTGTGTGTTATTAGATACTGTTAATGTCACTTATTATGCTTCTGTGCATTGATAGCTCATTTTTATTGTTTCTGTATTATGTTGAGAAGGGCCATGCCTGTATATAAGTGGATCTGTTGCTCGCTGCTAAAAATGTGGCCCATCGACATCATCTGGTTTTGAAATGCGGCCCAGTTGAAATAGTAATTGAATAGCCCTGCTGTAGTTTGTTTGTTTCTTAGCTATCTAACAACACATCAAAAATAACTATAAGCCAGTCTTGTTCAGTGAAACAGTTTATCATGTACACTCAAAAATAGGCCAGGCCTAATATTTAATATTTAATATTTTATTTTATATTTTATTGTTTGCTTATAAATACATAAACCTGGTTGTTCTATATTTAAAACACATTGGGTTTATTACTACTATTAAATAAATCACATTATTACCTATTATACTCATTATTATTACTTGAGCTTGTTTTATTTATTCATTTCACAGATAGTTATACATCCTTAATCCTTAAATTCATTATGGACGTGGACTTAAAATCATTGTTTTATTTTATGACCTTGCTGCCCTGGCTTTTGGCCTTTGTGCTCTCAAAAAAATTGACAACACGAAAGGCCAAGTGGCCTTGCCCCTAAAATGATGAAATTCCAGGCCTGCTGTCAACTCCCATGGTCTTTATTTGTTTGAACTACACTACCCTGCCCCTACAACCTCCAGTGGTGCTGCCACATTTAGTCTATATCCAAAAGTTTTTAGAAAATGTGTGCTAATACAGACAATATTTACATGGTCAGTGTCCATATAAATTTATCTATGTAGCATAAGTGAGCCATTAGATGTTCTGGTGATGAATGCACTCTCTTTGCTGCTCTTTTAAGATTAGAGAATTACGGGGGTCACTTAAAATCTTGTTTTACAATTTCCTTTTCCTAATTTCCTCTAGCAGTAATAATCTTGTGTTTAAGTACATGTTCTAAATAACATGGTACAACAAAGTTTGACCTTACCCGACTGTCTGTTTGCGTGCAGTGTCTGGGTCAGAAGCGGTGTATCGCACTACATCACTGTTGATGGCAAGGTCCTCCCGTTTGGACACATGCTTCTGCACTGGATCAAACACCGGCGCCTCATTGACGTCCTGCACATTCACCACCACTGTGGCGGTGGCAGTAGGCAGTGGAGTAGCAAAAGGAACCTCATTCTCCACTGCAACCAGCAGAGTGTGCTTGGTGCTCCTCTCAAAGTCAAGACCCTGGTTGCATGAAGGAAAAAGCACAGCAGCACATCAGATAAATGTCTTACAACCTGAACAAACTGCCTGTGTGAGCAGCACACGTACATTGCAAAAACTCTTGTATTTTTTTTTCCGGCACCCATGTTAACAGGTTAGCGCTTTTATTTTTAACTCCACACTTCCTGTCTCTGTTTCAAAATAACAGCCCTCTGACGACATTTCTATGGACAGAATCCCTTCATTTGTTAACACGAGGCTTTTATTTTCATTGTGAAATATTTGCAGGACCATGTGGTTGAAAAGGTAGTGGTTTGCACAGCTCCATAAATAAGTTTAGTACCAGCTTTTAATTGTAGAAATACCGTACCAAGAGTAACATACAGTTCTGCAGCAGCAACACTATCTGTGTGATAGTGTTGCACGGTATACCGGTACTAAAATAGTACCGTGGTACTAGAGTATTCAAAACGGTACTATACTGCATTCGGAAAATACCTGTACTTTGAAACTGATTCAATTCATTAATTTAGTTAATTTATTTTACTCATTTATGCACACAAACGCCTTTCTTGTTCCTATTGGAGCACAGATTGCGCAAGTGGTGTGTATGACAACACCTGTATCAACATTCGCAGCTGGCGCACGTGAAAAAAGACAAGAGAAAGTCTGCCTCACAAAGGGAGACAACACGAGACAACACAAACTTGGTGGAACATTTGAGTTACCAAACCGTGACATCAATACTGAGGTACTTACCGAACCATGATTTTTTGGGTACCGTTACACCCCTACTATTTATTGTTCTAAAGGTTTGTATCCAAAAGGACTTTTTCTTAGGAAAAGTACCGAAGAGTATCGAAATTCATATTGGTATTGGTACCGAAACAAAGATTTTGGTATCGTGACAACACTACTGTGTGAACATGGCACACATAAGCCGCAGCAGTTCAGTGAGGTCTAGGATTAAAACTTAAACTCCCTTATTACTTTTTGTTTTACCTGGATACTACATAACAATGATTGACACTGAAAAACATCACAGGTTTAATATTGTGTCTTATTTGAAAATTCTTGGTTTACTTCCCACCTTAGCAGTAGAAATGATTCCTTCATGTTTGTTACTTCCTGTTTTCACAGTGAAAAGTCCTCCAGGATCACCATCGACAATCGTGAACTTGGCGTTCCAGGCTGGGGAATGTGGCTGGTCACCATCTGTTACTGACACTGTAATGACCTGAGCGTCCACTTTATTTTCTGGAACTGTTGCTTCATACTGTAATGCAAGGGATGTGTTTTTGGTGAAACAGAAAAAAACAAGGATTTTAAAAAAAAAATGTTGCTTGATGCAGTTTCGTTAATTACTTCCCTGTACAGCTTTGGGATACTCTGTTTAATACAGTTCACTCACTTTTAGCCAGAAAGTATCTAAAACTTACCTTTCAACATCAAACAGATATTTTGAGTGTAAGAGTTGTCATCATATATAAAATGCATTGTTGAAGATGCAAAGATAATTCAATCATGTCATAAACTATCAGGACTAAAACTGCGATCATATACTACTCAAACTGCTGAGTAAAATAATAAAAGGAGCAGTTCTTTATTGTTTACAATCTATAATGTTACCAAAAATTTATTATGATGGGCTACCTTCTCAAGCAAAGCCGTTTTTGTTTTAAAGTTGACCATGTATGATACCGGTTCATACACATCAACTGTAATGCTACCGCATAAAAAATGAAAACATTGACTAAAGTCCTTTCTATTGCCCCATGGACACTGCTCTGAAGCTTGACAGATCTGCTGTGCCTGGTTATATGTATGTTGTACTTACGGCGGGCTGAGTGAAGGCTGGAGCATTGTCGTTGCTATCTGTGACCGTAAGAATGACTTTTGCTGTTCCCGTTAACCCTTCTCCCATCATGTCAGCTGCTTGTACCACCAAAGTGTATTTTGGGTATTTCTGTAAAGAGACATAAAAGTTAAATGCAGTTGGAACAAAATCCATTAAGACATTTTAAATAGCTGTGAAAGTAATGACATTCCCATTAGCCTCAGCTGCTGTAATGATGTTACATGATAACACGTGGCGTAACAAATCAAACTGTAGAACAAGAAACTGCCCGATCATTACAAAACTTGCAGGATATTTTTAGTGAGAATGTTGAACCCCATGTATAAAGTTATCTTAAAATCACTCAACAGGGGGAGCCACCAGTTCCAAACAAGTGCATTGGCCTTGTGCAAAATTTGACCCTTAAAGTAGTTTGTCAAAACATCACCAAACTCAAATATTGAAGCGTGTCCTCAAAATGCTTTTGCAATTGACCAGTAAGGGGTGACAGTTGCACCAAGGAAGAGCATGACCCAGCACAGATTCGGTTGTAAATGTATGAGGGTCTGTCTAATCATCATAACACCTGGTGGTTATCTTTAATGCAGTTGTCGTAAACTGTCAAACGTCTTGATCCTTCGCAACTTCAACTTCTAAAAGATCCACGCTGGCTTGAACCCAGTAATCTCCACTTACAGCTATATTTGTCTTTGTTTCCGCAATCTGCAGTTTTGCATCAATGTATCTCTATTATCTATTACATGGTTTCCCTGTGTTGTTCAGTCTGCACATGAGCTAGCATGAAAGCATCTACACCTCACCTAGCATCTAACTGAACCGAATCAAGCAAGAAAACAGGAGTGTTCCCGAGCACCTATTTTTCAGGGCACGATGGCTGCGTCATGTGATAAACAGAGGACAACTTTTGGAACGCAGCCACACACACTGCATGTATAGTGGAAAGAACAACCAAGTACAGCCAAGAGCTATCTTTCCATTCTTCAGTAAATATCAGTCTGTGTTAAATATCAAGAAGTTGATCATTTTTGTGCAGGGCTGCCAGAGCTTTACATCCATGCCATGGACAAGAAACAACACCTGGAGGAAGATCAGCTCCAAACTCAGGATTTCTGGTAAGTAGGCTATGATATAGTGCTGGTTATGGTCACTTAGCAACTTTAGCCACACAATGCCTCTGCACTCTTCAAAGTTGGCACAGAGTAGGCACAAGAGTAGCACCCAGTGCCCAACCTTGTGTCTTCCAGGCGGTTAAAGACACAGCATGTGTATGGGCCCTTCGGTTAAATAAGTTTCAGAAGCCTCACCTCTCTGTCTAGCCGACCGTCATTGACTCTGATTGCTCCATTGACTGAGTTGATGACAAACAGGAAGTCATTGGGCAACTGTGGATCCTGGCTCAAAATACTGTAGCGGATATCTGAGTTGTCAGTATCCAGCTGGTCACTGTCTGTGGCCTCAACCTTCATCACTTCAAAACCTAGAGAGAGGGAAGTCAGAAGTGAAAATGAAGTACAGAGGTTTCTCAAAGTATTCAGAGCACTTCATTAAAGAGCCGATTTACAAAGCAAAGCTGGGCCACACAGGGTTAACAGAATACTAGTTTTCTTTCCAACCTAACAATGCACCTGGAGTTTGTGGTGTGTGTGTGTGTGTGTGTGTGTGTGCAGTGTCAGTGAGTTAAGTCATTCTGTAGTCTTGTCATACCTGCATATTAACTAGGGCTGCACAATATATCAAAAATGTACCTTCATCACAATATCAACGTGTGATATAGGTATCACAAGACTGCTTAACTGTCATAAAGAGTATATTTACATGTGCCATGCATTCACATGCTGCATGTCATATTGAAACACTGGCGTTGGGTGACTTTACGAGTTTTGAAAGTATTTCTCATGTCACACAAACCACTGACAGTGAAACGTATGTTTTGTGTTATGATCATACTGTCTGTGATGTGTCTGTGTTTTTTTTTCTGGTGCTCTGCACAGATCTGACACCTGCCTACCCACCTGTCCTCATCCCAGACTCTCTGAAGCTCAGTGCGCTGCTGTTTCCTGGTAAAGAAGATGGCTCTGCACGGAAGTCCCCAGGGACCACCAATAAACCATAACCTTGTATTTTAATGTTTATAAAATACACCAGAATTCACACATATGTAGGATAATACTACAGATGTTTCTGTAGTCTTACGTCACACATCTGTTGTGACAGCACTTGTTGTATTCACTCATGTCAGTGATGACTGTGTTTTACTGTCCAGGGGACGTTCTACTGATACAGTATTGACTCATGTTGAGGACAACCTGATGATGTTAAACTGTACAGGGGATGCGCTGTGCAGAAGAAATTTATTCACTGGCAGCCACCATTTTCTTCCTGTATATACCATGTATGTCGCACAAGATCAGTTTTGTTGTTTACTCCCCCCCCCATCATCTCAGTAAGTGAAAAGGAAACATAAAAACTCTTCTCAGATTGAAAGAGAAACTGCATATTTTTCAAAATGTTGAACTACTAAATTCATACAGTAATTAATTTGAATTTTTATGGAATATACATAGAAATGCTATTTCTGTGGGATTATCACAAATCACAATCATATATCACATATGATTGACCTTACACTGGGTAAATGATTCTGGGGTTCTCTAAGTTCTGCTCAACATGTGGCATTTGTATAATGTTTTGTATGTAGACCGTGTATACAGGTACATATAAAGTCTGATTTGTAAATAAAGTTTTTTAGTTTGTGATGTTAATGAACTTTTAGATACATTTTAAGCATTCATGAATATGACCATAATTAGAACCATATAACATTAAACACCAGTTTAGCACTAGAATTTGTCAAGTTTTTTTTTTTAATGGGAACCCACTCAAATGACCACCTGTGGGTCCCGGGACTTACTGCATGGACAGCCTATCAATATCACTGCATTTCTGTGGATCCCGGGGACTCATTACATGGACAACCTATCAAACACGGCACTTTAGTACTCAGCACTTTTTCTTGCACTTTTGACGTCTCTGTATGTTTCTGTGTTGTGATTGTTATATGTAGTCCATGTCTGTTTTATGTGATAGAACTGTCCCTGTGATGATGTTTTTATCTTGTCCTGTGAAGCAATGAAATGTAGCACTGTGCCCAAGATGAATTTCCCTTAGGGGACAATAAAGTTTACCTTACCTTAATATTACTGCATTTCTTTTTTTTCCCTTCTTTTTTTTCTTTTTCTTTTTTTGTGCGAGTCATATCGTCATTGCAATATTCAAAAATGTTTTTTCCTGATATCATGCAGGCCTAATATCAACTGATAAAATATCCCTACAATATCGAACAATCTATTATTGCTAACCAAAGACTAACTACGATGATGCAATACGTACGCAGAAAAAAAAGGTAGATTTAGACATCAGCCAGATGAGAGGAATTACCATGATCCAAAGTTATTTCTGATTTGCCATCTGAAACTCTGTCTCCACCAAGTTCCCCATTTAGTGTATAACTGAAGCTTTCTATGTAATTATCAAGCTGAGGTGGCTTTAGCTTTACTAGCATGCTCACTTTTGTAGAAGTCCCACTCTGGAGTGTATCACAAAAAATGTATAGTACTCCCCAGTGTGTTGAAGCAGGTCCTGGATTTGATTATATTAGCTTTAAGTCAACTTGTACAAGTTCTATCTTGCACTTGTCTGGTAAATGTGAAACATGCTGCTGAACACTAACACAGATCTTATTCAGGCTGAGATGAAATCCACTGACAGTACCTTTTGGTGAGGCCTCAGCAACTTCTCCCAGGTAGGTGTCTTGACTGAAAACAGGTTTGTTGTCGTTCTGGTCAATTACTTTCACCACAATTTCCATAGGCTCCTCAGCCTTTCCTGACCCATCTGATACAGCGTGTGCTTGAAACTGCAGACAACATACATATTTGTATTATAATACTGCACATGCAAGAATAAACAAAGCAGATGCTCTCATTCCATGTATGTATACCCTGCATAAAGACTGTTTACACCAGGTCCTGCAAAAATAAGGCCAGGAGAATCATCAGGTCCCCAACCACCCAGATAACACCCTTTCTTTCTCTGTTGAGGTCAGGGAGAAGGTACGAGATACACCAGGCCAATCAATGAATTTACAGGAATGGAATGGAATGGAATGGAATAGAATAGAATAGAATAGAATGAACTTTATTCATCCCCGGAGGGAAATCCAGCTGTCCAGTAGCTAATAAAAAACAACAACCACACTTCCCCTCATCAACAACAACACAGATCACTAGAATCTTATTTTAGGGCTGCTCGATAATGGAAAAAATCATAATCACGATTATTCTGGTCAAAATTTAAATCACGATTACGCGGCGCACGTGATGACGTATTTACACGACGGCATGTCATTTCTGTCTCCACATGGTTGCGAGTTTACAATTCTCCTCCGCTCTCTGTATTGCGCACGGCGGAGTTCGGCCCTGATGCACACGCACGCACGCGCACACACACACACACACACACTTTTGAAATCTTCGGAATAGAGTTTTTGAAAACTCTGTTCCGTTTTTTGAAATCTTCGGAATAGAGGAGAGGAGGGGAGGGGGCATTATTGTGCAAGCGCGGCTTCCGGGTGTGTTTCATTTGCAGCACAAGACAACAAGAGTAAACTGACAAGAAGCGCATTATCGTTTTATGTCAATTATTTTGTTTTTATAATCATTGAAAGCCCAAATCGTAATCTAGATTAAAATTCGATTAATCAAGCAATCCTACCTTATATCCTTATAAACTTATAACATACCTTATATGATTTCATGTAGCAATAAAAAATTTAATTGATAGTGCTGACTAGTAAAAAATAGTTTTAACTAAGATAAAGCTGTCATGTCTAATGCTGATTCTAAAATAATGTATTCTGAAATGAAATAAAATACAAAGTGTGTCTGGAGAACTCCCTATCTGGTCCTGAAAAGTAAACAAGAGTGTATGTACTGTATAAGACTATACCGTAGTCTTACCGTATACTTGTCTTTCTCCTCTCTGTCAAGTGGTTGTGTGAGATACAGATTACCAGAGTCTCTGTCCATGGTGAAAAGGCCAACAGGAGGCTCATCAGCTCCTGGACCAGTGATGCTGTAGTAGATCTTCTTAATTTTATCCTCATTAGAACGGATCTGGGCACAACAAAACAAGCCTGAGTTTTACCACTTGCACCAATTACAACAACAGTTAGAATACTTCAGAACTATTTTCCACTACATGAGGAAAATAGCGCAGATGTTTCTGAGTTGTACTGCAATTACATTTCTGGGGTACAGAAGCCAAAAGCAGCCTGGTTACAAAATTCTGCATACTGTTGTCAAGATCAAAAATCAATTATGTTATGTTCTTTGGACAACAGTGCTGTTTCATCATATCATCATCATCATCATCAATTTTATTTATAAAACCCAATATCACAAATCACAATTTGCCTCACAGGGCTTTACAGCATACAACATCCCTCTGTCCTTAGGACCCTCACAGCGGATAAGGAAAAACTCCCTCCAAAAAAAACCTTTAACGGNCACACACACACACACACACACTTTTGAAATCTTCGGAATAGAGTTTTTGAAAACTCTGTTCCGTTTTTTGAAATCTTCGGAATAGAGGAGAGGAGGGGAGGGGGCATTATTGTGCAAGCGCGGCTTCCGGGTGTGTTTCATTTGCAGCACAAGACAACAAGAGTAAACTGACAAGAAGCGCATTATCGTTTTATGTCAATTATTTTGTTTTTATAATCATTGAAAGCCCAAATCGTAATCTAGATTAAAATTCGATTAATCAAGCAATCCTACCTTATATCCTTATAAACTTATAACATACCTTATATGATTTCATGTAGCAATAAAAAATTTAATTGATAGTGCTGACTAGTAAAAAATAGTTTTAACTAAGATAAAGCTGTCATGTCTAATGCTGATTCTAAAATAATGTATTCTGAAATGAAATAAAATACAAAGTGTGTCTGGAGAACTCCCTATCTGGTCCTGAAAAGTAAACAAGAGTGTATGTACTGTATAAGACTATCATTAGAGATGATGCTTACCGTATACTTGTCTTTCTCCTCTCTGTCAAGTGGTTGTGTGAGATACAGATTACCAGAGTCTCTGTCCATGGTGAAAAGGCCAACAGGAGGCTCATCAGCTCCTGGACCAGTGATGCTGTAGTAGATCTTCTTAATTTTATCCTCATTAGAACGGATCTGGGCACAACAAAACAAGCCTGAGTTTTACCACTTGCACCAATTACAACAACAGTTAGAATACTTCAGAACTATTTTCCACTACATGAGGAAAATAGCGCAGATGTTTCTGAGTTGTACTGCAATTACATTTCTGGGGTACAGAAGCCAAAAGCAGCCTGGTTACAAAATTCTGCATACTGTTGTCAAGATCAAAAATCAATTATGTTATGTTCTTTGGACAACAGTGCTGTTTCATCATATCATCATCATCATCATCAATTTTATTTATAAAACCCAATATCACAAATCACAATTTGCCTCACAGGGCTTTACAGCATACAACATCCCTCTGTCCTTAGGACCCTCACAGCGGATAAGGAAAAAC